AAGAAAGAAAAGAAAAGAAAAGAAGGATAAAATGGAAAGGAGAAGGAGAACTCTGAGGAGGGAACATCCAAACAAGACGATGAGAAAAAGGAGGATAACCAGGGAGACCAAGTCGAAGAGGCTGTCGAACAACCAGCCGAAGCTGCAGAGCCACAACAGCAAACTGAGCAGCAGCAGAAAAACGGTCGATTCATCGTCTTCATCGGTATGTCACTGCTCAAGACAACATTCCTTGATCAATAATGCTAACGTGTTTTCTAGGAAACCTCCCCTACACGGCTAACAAAGAATCCGTCGCGCACCACTTCCGCAAGATCAACCCAATCTCCGTCCGGGTAGCGACGGAGAAGAAGAACCCGGAGAAATGCCGGGGATTCGCCTTCATCGAGTTCGAGAAGTTCGACCGCATGCAGACCTGCCTGAAGCTATACCACCACTCGACCTTTGACGATGGGAAATCGCCAGCGCGGCGGATCAATGTCGAGCTGACGTGAGTTTAACCCGAAGAATCTTACAAATGGAGTAGTTTGCTAACTTTTTAATTACAGTGCCGGAGGCGGCGGCAAGTCTCAGAAGCGCAAGGCGAAACTGAAGGAGAAGAACCAGAAACTGGCCGCGGAGCGGGAGCGTCTCGCGAAGCAGAAGAAGGAGCAGAGGAAGCAGAAATACAACAAGAACCAGAACAAGAAGGGCGACGCTCAGGAGAACTCGAAGGATGACTTGGCAGATGTTCATCCGAGTCGAAGAGGGAGGGTAGCAGGTTAGTCTGCGTAGGTATTCAAATCACTTGACTTGTGTCTATCGTTATGGCATCACTTGCCTCGGTCCGTTATCCGTGTCGTTTCGCTTTGACTCGACTTTTGTACGGACGTACTTATGTGTATGTGTGTATGTATGTGTATATATACGTACCTGTCACGCAGCCGGGGGATTGATTAAAAAAAAAGAGCATTTTTATTTTATTTCAACATCAGTTTAACTAAATTATTATCTATAGCTATGAACTTCATCATCCATCTCATTTCAGTGTACTGTATGTGTGTACATACATCCATCCATCCAGTCAGTTATCTCTATCTCAATCAATCAATCGATCGATCGATCGAATATCGATGAATTGATACCCAGAAGAAAAAAAAGAAAGAAAAAATTGATACATCACAACACACTTCGCCATAGGCATGTACATGTAGCTAGATATGTACAGTACAGTATGTATGTGCACAAAATAAGAAGGTAATTACTCCATCCGTCCATATTTGGTTTTGGGTAGCAGAGCATGCAGCGTACATGCATGCATGCAGACGGAGTACTTCCGCCCCAATGGGACAGGGCCAGACCGGACCGGACTGGATCTATCGATCTATCGGCAAATCGACAAATCGAGAAATTTCCTATTGTTTAATCTATCTATCTATCTATTTCGATCGCGATCGAGATGGAGATCGGTCAGGTGACTCAGGTCGTGATTTGTCAGAATGATTTCTATTTCTATTTCTGTCTATCTACCTAAGACATTTTCCGTAAGACATCAGAAAAAGGGAAGGGGGCTGGTCTGGATCGCAATGGTGATTAATTGATTCACTGATTGATGTTGACAGACAGACGGACAGGTACAAGTCCTAATTAGGTAGACATAATTTCACTGCAGAGTAAAACTATAGTACTGTAAAATTAGGTAAGTAGGTAGGTAGTACCTACCTACGTTCTGCTTTCTTGATACGACAAGAAGAGGGCAATTCACATGGCTTTCTTGATTTCCTGACTTCTGATTTTTTTGACTTGTTGATTGACTGACTGGTGAACTTAAATCAAATATCAAATGCATACACACAGGAAACAAAAAAGAAAAGAAACCATACAACACAAAACACACAAACAAGGAGGTATAATATAAAGAAATGACGAGAATGACGAATATGAATACGAATCGGAATGCAGTTAAAGATAAAAAAAGAAACGGAAGACGATAATGACGGGAGGAGGGAGGATATTTGATTGATCGTAAGGATGAGAGAAAGCTCTAGTTGCAAGCAAGGAAAAACTTGTTCGGATGCTTTTGCTCAATCAAAGTAAGGAAAAAAAAGAAATTCGAAATATACGTACGTACGGGGATCATATGACTGAAGAGGCCAAAAAATAAAAGGAAATGAAATAAAAGAAAGCCCAACCTAAACGCCCCAAAATTCGGATCGGATCGGTATATCACATAAATGGGAGATGATTAAGGAATAGAAAGGATTAGTTTCGCTTGACTTTGCTTCGCCTCGTCTCGCTTTACACGATCACGCACTTCTTGCTCTTCTGTTTCGGTTGCGGGCGTGGGTTGAGCACGGCCCTGTACATTCATCCGAGTCAGTCGTCTTAACTGTACACAAGCACGCTGCTAGACTCACCGAATAGCTTCGTCGAATACGCTCTTCAGGTTGCGCTGCGTCAGAGCTGAGCACTCCAGATACCTTGTGCGCCTTGATCTCCTTCGCCATCTGGAGCGCTTGTTCGTACGAGACCGGCTCCATCTTCTTGGCACGCAGCGCTTCGTTCGTGGCCTTGTCGTCCCTCAAATCTAGTTTGGTGCCCACCAGGATGATCGGAGTGTTCGGTGCGTGGTGCTCGATTTCAGGGTACCACTGTCGCCTGTCAGCGTCATCTGCTCGCCGCCATGACCTCCAAACCTACCTTCGCCTTGACGTTGTCGAACGAGGGAGGGCTGACGATCGAGAAGCAGATCAGGAACACGTCCGTTTGGGGGTACGACAGTGGTCGGAGTCGGTCGTAATCCTCCTGTCCAGCGGTATCCCACAGACCCAGGCTGATGGGCTTACCGTCCACCATCACGCTTGCAGAATAGTTGTCGAACCTGTCGAGCGTCAATGACTACGTAGGCATGTCGCGAGGAGTGTCACTGACACTGTGGGAATGTACTCGCCGGGGAAGGCGTTGGTGGTGTACGAGATGAGCAGACATGTCTATCGACCTGTCAACGACCGTCCACAGACATCGAGACCGCGACGTGATCAACCGACCTTGCCTACAGCACCATCACCGGTCACGACACACTGCTCTCAGACATCTATTAGCTCCGGCTGATTTGCATTCTGTCCATCCATCGGTCTGTCCAACCTTCAGCGATTGAGTAGCGGGGCCAGATGCCATCTTGCCGATTCAGTGGATTAGAATGATTCGATATTGTATATATGCGATAGTCTACGGGCTGTAAAGTCGACAACAAGGAAACACGGTCTAATCAGTTCACGGGTATCTGAAGGCAAGACAGGTCAGAATAACGGATCTCGTAGAAAACAGCGGTTCTGCTCTCACCTTAAACACTGGTACCGCCAGAATCAGACTCTGTATGCGCAGCGAGCCGACAAACGAAGCAAATAACCGAGATAATTTTACGACAAGAGACCAGAAGCCGCGCGCAACGATCAGATTAGGAAATGCTGGCGTGGTTGGCGTCGATCGTGGTGGGCGATATGCAGAAGCGGGGGAATATCGCTTGTCAAGGAGCGGGAGGAGCGGTCGACCCGCTGTCGTTCGACCTGGCTGGTCTAGGAAAGCTGCGATCAGAAGGATGCCCAGTTCAACCCTTAAGGAGTCGTCTGGAGGACGGTGGAGAATAATGGTGCGTCCGTCAGAGAGGTTGGGTCGGGGGCCAGGGGGAGCAGTGCGGTGCAGGAGATGGAAGTCAGGGGGCGGCCTTACTGGGAGGAACCTCAGGCCACGGCGGTTGCCGTTGCAAGCAAGCAGAGCAGCAGCCTGCCACAGCACGAAACGAGCAATTTGAACGGGATTGGGCTGGGATAGCTGGCAGCCACTCAGACGGGCGACTGGAGAGCGACTCTGTCTCTTAGTCTCCTGGGCGCGAGGGAGGGAGCAACAGGCTCTGGCGCGAAGCCCCTGGGCGTGACAGCAGCTGCCGGCCGGTGGAGCTGCCGCGGTGGAGACCGCCCAGCTCGCGCAAGACCTTCTGTCCTCCAGTCCTTCTCGCTTGTGGCCGGCTGGTGGCTGTTACGGTGCGATCGATGGCATACAGAGGACTCCGTATGCTGCATGCTGGTTTGCCGGATTTCCTGTACGGAGGAGTGACGCTGCACCCACGGTCCCAGGCCGCATCCCGGCCGTGAGTCATGTTACCAGGGTTCGATCTTTCACATCCTCCATTGGTCCGCTGGACTGCTGGCCGCAAGGAAGGGCGTTATTGGCGGCTCTGCAGAATCCCTGGTGATGCTGTTTGTCTCTTCTGTCGCTGAGAACTGTGCTGATTATACTCTACATAGACGCTGTGTGAAGGAGTCAGCTCTTGTTCCGTCCTTGGCGTGACTCGAAGTCGCAGAGTTCGGCCAGGAGGGGTTCTCGGAGTAATAGTGCCATCGACTAATCAATCAGATTAGCCGATCAGTGTGCTATCTGTTTCTCGCTTATTATCGCCTACGCCTATCGCCAGAACCACCTGAAACGCATCCGTATCATCACTGATACAGACAAATCAGACAAGGATCAAGGACAGAGATAAAGATACCACGCCTGAGACAGGTTGGCAGAATCAGTTAAAAAAAAGGCCAGGATTGAAGCAGTAAGGTGGTGGCTGGTATAGCAGTCGTCCCAGACTAGCAGTGCACCTACAAACAGCTGCCATGTTCTGATTCTCATGGACATTTTCTCTTTCTACAGCGTCCGCCTGTCACATCTGTCGGTCATTCAACGTGTCGGAATGGATAATTTCATTTGTTTCCTAGTATGGCCTGCTACGGTCATACCTGGGCAGGTATTTCATTCCTCTTAGCATTGACAACACAGGTCCCCAAGGCCATTTTTCAATGCTCTTGATAACTATACTATGCTATGCAGCGTTCACGGGTTACCGGTGCTCGAAGCCAGCAATGAAAGATCCCTGCTTCAAATCAAACGGCTTCTCCACCAGCCCAGGGAGTTTCTCAACGAGGGCCTGGAAATGGGCAGTTTTGACGTGTGCATCTAGAGAAGCTTGGTTCTTATATCTGTGTCGTTGTTAGGACTGAACCTGGACACAGCATCAAATTCACATATCACCTACTTCTCCACAAAGACAACCTCATCCTTGCCATCTTGGCCTTTTGCCCGGAACGCAAAGTACGTCAGGACGTCCGGCTCGGTTGCTTGGACGGCCTTGGTGATTTCCTGGACGGCAGCCAGGAGCTGTCATATCATCAGCCTCGTCCTGGTTATGACAACAAGCGTATATGGAGAAATAAGTCAATAAATTCACTTCGCATGCTTACACACCTCATCAACCTTGTCCGGTTTAGGATAGAAGATAGCCGTGAGATAGACCTCCTCTGACGACATATTGACTGAGGATATATATGTTTTCCTGAAGAGGAATCGACTTGCAGTTCAGAATTTTAGGTAGCAGGAGTAAGATCGGCAGCAGGTGTTCCTGCAAAATCCCTCCATGGGCTTTTATTTAAATGGCCAGATATTACGCAGCTAGCTGGATTCTTGATTCATAATCAACGGACTGCTCTGCTAGCACTGAGGGGCAGATGTGGGTCAGAGCTGCCTTCCCTGCCTCTTGAGAGGAGAGAGTAGCATCCCGTCTCTTTGCTTCTCTTCCGTAGTTAGCATACCCCTCCGAGAACTCCTCCGGGCCGATCGGAAATTCGAAATCCGGGGAATGGCACGTGCACATGGTCCGATATTATCATCTTTCGGGAAAGACCAGATTTGTTGGAATTTCGTGAAAACACTCCAGTGGGAATTGCATCGATCTGAGGGTTTGCCCTACTCAAAGGATGATTTCCAAGAAATAGTGACAATAAAGTACTACACACTCTCACTAGCTCTGTAGAGCTGTTGTTATAGCCTACACTGGGGGCTGCGATCAGATTCCAGAATCTAAATGCAGAACGCAGTTGATTTGAGATTGGGCTGAAAATTACAATCGCCACTCTAAATATTCATTATACTTGCATAAAACCGACCCAGTCCTCCACATATTAACGCCTAGACATGCTCTATATAGACACCCGGGAGTCTCTTTTAGGGTAAGGTATATCCCCCATCAATGACGATATCAGCTCCAGTCATGTAGCTCGACGCATCCGATGCGCAGAACACGTATGCCTAGACGATCGATGTCAGCATATAAACCATCACTGTATATATATATATATATATATATATATATATATGCATATTTCTGCTCACTCACCCCCTAAGCATACGTCGCAGCAATCTCTTGGCAGGGACCATGCTGTTCCACTTTTCCCTCCATCCTTCGGATGCACGTCCAGCATGTCCGTCTCGATAAATCCGGGGGAGATGCAGTTGACGCGACAGAAATCGACCCACTCGACCGCCAGGCATTTGGCGAGCTGGACGACTGCCGCTTTGGATGCGTTGTACTAGACGACAAACCGTTTAGCATGATTTTAAGTCCTGGTGTTACTGTGTTGGAAACTTACAGCAGCCTGCTTCTGCGGGAGATTCACCAACGACGCACTGACAGACGCCGTGAAGATGACGTTTCCAAAACCCTGCTTCTTGAAGATCCTCGCCGCCGCCTGCGCCGTGTAGAAGGCGCCGTCGAGGTTGACCTGCATGATATCGCGCCATTGTTCTGTAGTATAGTCTTCGGCAGGCTGGTGGGCGGCGATACCGGAGTTGGCGACAATGATATCCAGCTTGCCAAAGGCTTGGGCGATCTGCTGGATGGCGCGTTCGATGTCGGACTGATTTCTCACGTCGGCCTGGTATGCGGCGGCGCGGACGTTGTTGGCTGCTGCGATCTCTGCGGCGACGGTGTCTGCATGCTTAGACGTGCTGTAGATGATGGCGATCTATTATTTATTTCTGCTATCAGCTATGTACGAATCTCCAATTGAGCCAGGCAGGCATATGTGTGTACGTACATCAGCGCCAGCCTCTGCAAGAGCTTTCGACACCTCCAATCCAATGCCGCGCGCACCACCTACATCGAGTTCTGCTGTAAGCATTCGAACCAGCCACATGGCCATCAGAGGTGTAGATGTGTCTACCGGTAATCGCAGCCACCTTGCCGGTCAGGTCGAAGGCTTTCAGCACATGCTTGTTCTCTGGTTGTGCGAGGACCATTTTGACTGTCTTCTCGTGCTCAAATCTCGAACGGAAAGTCGCGCCTCGATATGTAAATGAAGAAACGAAAGAGAAAGAAAGAAGGTGTTTAATCTAGTATACTCCGGAGTACCTTTCTTGAAGCTAGGTTACTTGCTAGTGAACAAGTTCCTACCCCTCACCGTCCGATAGTTAATTACCCCACAGTTCGATCAGCGTCCCGAACGGTCGGTCCCTGACCAATCGTCCATGGATCTGTACAATAAGTAAGTCACGATAGCCTACTGGGTAACCAGTATGCGTGATATAGTCTGCTAGATGACTGCAGGTGTCTACTTGGTATATCAACCTTAATATCAAGCTATCTTAGATTCGCTTGCCTTCAAGTATAGTTATCTATATGAGTACCTAGGTAGATTATATAGCTAGATACTAATAGTTATGGGTCTGATTGATTGCTTCGTTCCATTATGAGACATCATAATCATGCGGTATATCATCTGTTCTATACTGTATGATATGTACAGTGGCAGTGTTGCGGATAAGATTTGAGTATCGTCAGATAAAGTTATATCACACTACCTAGCAACCTGATCCAGGGTTCTTACCTACCAGGTACCTAGGTACCTACCTAGGTAAGGTATCTAATCAGGTATCCTCTACGATATTGCATCATGATGCGTTCACGGAACCGACATCGCCACAACAAAGGAAGGAAGAGCAACTTTCTCCATCAATTTTCGTAGCAGAACCGAATTCAACAGACTATTTATGATCAAAGCAGCTGCGTCAAGAATATAATACTATCCTAGTATATCTACCTCCTATCTACCCGTCTATCTGCGCTCGCTAAACAATACCTCCCTCCCTCCATCCGTACCTAGATAGAGATAATGCCCTCAAAACCAATCTCCTCCCCACCCCGCCACAAAAAGATCGGCGCCGTCCACGACGACGACCAAGACCGCATCGACACCTACACCACCGTCCGCGGCAACCAGCAGGACGAGGCGCAGGCGCGCCGCCTGCCGACGCCGCCCAACATCGCGGCCGGAAGACGCACGGGCGAGCATGCGCCGAATCCGTCTCGAGGGCATGCGGGGACGACGGGGGCGAAGTATCGGTCGACGTCGAGGCATTGAGTGGAATAGAATATAATGCGATGAATGAAATGGCATGATGTGGAATGAATGGTATGCAATGGTGTTGAGAAGGTTGATTGATGGATGGATGGATGGATGGTTGTATTTACAGTGCTGAAGGTTGACGTCTGTGCATAATAATTACAGAGTATGACATTATTCAAGCTGGTCTGGATTTTATGCAGTCAATTCTTGCGATTATTATTGTCAGTGTTGCTACTGTCCACCGGCGATCGCCCTAATTAGGGCTTCTGGTACAGATTTGGCAGTGATAGGCGGTACCTAGTGAATGAAGAGAAAAACCACCGCTTCTACTGTCAAGATGAAGATCATCTATCTAAATCATTTATCATTTTCAAGGTCATGCTTTATTCGTGTACATTCATTCATACATTCATACATACAGACATACATAATTGACTTCGTACAGGGTATCTCGAGCTTTGACATAGGAAATAAAACAAAGAAAGCAATCCATCAATCATCACACAAAAGCGACAAAAAGGTAAAACGAAACGCAAATGAGTGACTTAAATAACAGGCGGACCGACAAACGAATCCGGAATCCCGTCAAACACCCAGTTCAGCGAGTCAAACACGTCCGAAAAGCTGGCTTCGCCCATCAACCCCCCATTCTGATCGAAATTCGGCGACAGCATCAGTGTCGGGTCCGCCAGGGAATTATTATTACTGTCTTGCTGCGGCCCCATCGCTCCAGCGGCCGAGTTGCTTGGATTATTATTCGGGACGGCGGCTGTTCAGATCAGTATATATATGCTGATGGACGACAAGAAGGGGAAGAGGAAGATTGAGGAAGATTGCTTACACTGTGTGTTATCCTCCGTCTTCTGTTGCGGCTTGAATCGCTGCCGCCAGCGCCACACCGTGTCGTACACATGGCTCATGCTCATGCGGCTGCGGATCTTCAGCTGCAGCGCGTCGTCGCCCGACGCTGACCCCGACCATCCGGCATTCCACATCTGCGAGATCACATTCGCCAGACGCACAGGTCGGTCGTTGTCCACCACGCTGATCCGCCGGATCGACGAGATCGCTCCGTTGAACAGGAACTTGCCGTGGTCAAAGTCGATCTGCCGCGAGAAGGAGCTCTTCAGCAGCTTCATGAGCGCAAACGCTGCCGAGACGATCATCTGGAGGATGTAGTTCGTTGCGTGCGCCAGCAGATTCCCCGGCGACGTCTCGAGCTCCAGCACCCGGCCGAGGAACGAAGTCGTCGCGAGGAACAGGTTGGTCAAGTCGTCGCTTCGGGCATTGGAGCTGAGAAAGACGAAGAACCGCAGATGCAGGTCCGCCGCCCGTAGATGGATCATGTTGATTTCTGAAACAGAGTCAGCAACCAAACTTCACGATTCTGCAGAGGACTTACGTGATATGTCTTCCCCAAAATCCTGTTCCATTTCCCTGAGCTCGTTCTCCAGGATTCGAACAATCAGCAGCTTCTCTGTGCTGATGAATTCGGTTGGTTCGGGTCGGCCACTATAAAGGCTTCTCGTGACTCGGTCGCAGAACTTCTCAATGCGTAGCCGCGTCTTCAACTCATCTGGTAGACGGTAATCGGCGTTCTTGAGAGACGCAGGCTCCAGTGCCCAGTCGTAGATCGTGCCTGGAGGCTGGCCGTATCCGGTGGCAACACTAACCTAGCGTCAGCAAAGGACTGTATGTAAAGGTCACTGAGGGTGACGTACTTCTGAGCGACGATGTTGCAGATAACCCACGTCTGCAATCTGTCCTTCAGCTCTTCGCCCCGGACCTCCATCCGGAACGTGGTGAATTCTTCCGGTTGGACGGGGCGGTGCAAGCCCAGCTGCATGGCCACCTGCATCATTAAGCCACTGAGCATAAAGGTCTGGTCGCTTCTCTGACTCGTCGTGGGCAGTGGCCACGTGCAGAGCAAACATAGTGCCTTTACGACGTGGTAGTTCTGCGGAACACTGCTGATGGTCGACCACAGGAGTCGACTGAGAGGCCCCGATAACGGCACTAGGAGGCCTGGTTCGGACGGGCATCGACGACTGGCGACACAAATGATCGACCAGGCAAGCAGGTCCGAACAGCTGAGATACTCTTCTGGGTCTTTTAAGGGATCCAAAAGAGGAAGGAAAGGATGGTAGAACCTGAAGAACCTAAGACGGTGTTAACCGGAGCCAGACAATGGATACTGAATTGCTTACTGTTCAAACAGCCGCAGGACCCTGGCCCTCGACAGCGTGATATCTTCGAGACGCCAGACATTGTTGGTCCGCGGGAGAATCGTGTCATCCGGCCCTTGTGGTGGTAGGGGCCGCGAAGCCTGCTGGTCAACGGAGACGGAGATTGATTGGGCCCGCGTCGACTGCGGGGGAGAATGAGGATCATAGAAGACATCCTCTGAAGACTGATTCAGCTCGTCACTGGCACTGGCATCGAAAGTTGCTTGGGCACGATCTGCCTCTGCCAATCGACGCCGAAGATCGGCGATCTCCCTTTCCATTTCCGCATTTCGTCTGACACACGTTAGCTCAATGCATATCATTCTGGGATAGGCCGCGGATTATCTGTCAATGACGATGACATAACTTACCGTCGTTTCGAAATGCGTTTGAACGATGGCTCCACCTTGCATTCTATCTGGAGTCGTCTGCAGCGCGAGCATGTGGAGGATGGAGCCTGTACAATATCACAGCGCAGCTGTTGTTCAGACGAGTGTCAGCCAATGGAAGCGGTCATATTCATATACTCGTGTACATATCTGATTGATAACGACCAGTACTAGGCAGACGATCAGTAGCGTACCTTTTGCTGTTTACACTCATTGCACGCCCTTCTGCTCCCCCCTCGTCGTTTTCGAATAATTGGCTGGATCTTCTCCGCCTCCAGGCCTCCGGAAAGGTCCGATTCTGTGACAGCGCGGTTGTTCGCTGTGCTGCTGTTCCGGCTGCTGTCCGTGGCTGGCGGCGTCACCAAGCTCCCGCCGGCCGCCAGCTCGCCTGCCCCCATGATACGCCTCAGATCGGGGCTCATATGCTCTGGAAGAGGCGGGCCGGCATACGTCGACATTTTTCTCCTCGTCAACCCAGCAGGAATGACAATTGAAGTCTTCGGGCGAAGAATGGCGCAGCTCCGGCTATCGGCAAAAGTTTGGCTTCCTGGCCCTTGGAGCGAAAGTCGGCACTTACGGCTGACTAAGCGGCACCCCGCAGAGGCAAAATAAGATATTATTATTATCTCATTTTAAATTAGACTAATTATGGGATCCAGTTCTCTATATATAGAAATTTTATTGATTGATCATTCTGCATTGTCATTGTTATCCGTCTGGCAGGAAAATCTGCCAGTCGCGATTCTTGGTCTGTATAGATTGTGGTCCTTGCCACTCCAACAGTATATAGTCAAGGCACTGGTATGGATAGCATATCAGACAACACTGTCAATCCGCCACTGGCGCTGAATCTTCGTTTCCTCCGGGACCATTGCTTCTTCAGATATTGCCAGTTCGAATGACATGACTCTGCAGATGCTGGCATTATCAACGGTTCCTCAATCGAGGATCTGCGAGACAGGCAGCTCGACGACATCAGAGCATTGCTGAATGATGGAGATCGAATCCTTACCATGTAGACGAGGACATATCAGTAAGACTTCGACAGTTCTCCTGGTCCATCTTCGCTATCAGGTGCTGCAAACGTGTCGACAGTGGTTTATTGCCTGTGACCTGTATTCGGACGGATGTTCTGCTTTACCCCCAGCTGTGTAGCATGACAGTTGAGGTACATTGGTTTGGCAGCAGCGTCAAAGATCTTTCATAGATAATCTCCTGTTCTCCATATTTACATGCAGGCGTGTTTACATAAAGGACACCAGAGAGACTGAAATCCAAAGTCCGATTTCGGCAAGATATTCATATCTGCAGTTTGACAGGGTAAAACATCACCCTGACAATTCTTTCACAAGCTCTACCTGAAGCAATTGAAGCAGATGATACTAGAACAGTTGAATGTCTCTTCATAATAGTTTCTGTGTAAGCACTACACGCTGACTTGGCCAGAAAAATATATATAACACTAGAACAAGGAGTAGTTATGCGAAGAGTCGATTTCACCTTCAGTAAGCGGCAATTTTCATTGTCTTCTCCAAAATCCTGGCTCGATACAGGAGAGCAAGCATATAAAACCTCATACCTAGTCATCTCAGAACCACACAAAGGACTCTCTGAAGCTGAAATTCAACACCAACCTTCCTGTGCCTAGGGACAGCGAAAAAAAAACTCATTTATGCAGTGATTGCGACTGCCCCGCAGAATGCTGATATCCAGACTGACCACCCTGACCATGGGCAGTCCCTGATTGCGACACATTCGAGTTTCGGTCTGCGGCAGACTGCGCCCTCGCTGCGAATCACAGAAGACATGTCTTTGCCACCTCGAGCCTACAGTAGGTAGTATCAGGTCATCGTCAGCGATCATAGAAAGAGATCTCATCAATCGGGAATTTTTGGCATCCATCTCACTCACCTGTGACGACTGAATTCTGGAAGCGTCAGACTTGGTCATCTGTGAAGGCATTTTGTTGGCGTTGGTGTTGTATTACTCGTTGGCGTTATGGGCAAGAGATCGTCAAGGAAGACAGCAGTCTGATTGAGACTATCTAACAATGCAATGGGGATCATGACAGGAAGAAGTTTTCTGGAGGGTTGCATCCATATTTATCCTTAGGAGCAGACAAAGGATTCAAAATTAGATCCCGTGCCTTTGTGATATGAGACCTTCTGTTTGCGGTACAGGTGTGTGTAGATGTCCAAGAGTGCTGGAATTATATGTTTCTCTGTTGAATATTTCTTCCTTCCTTTTTTTTTTGGTAGAAGTGGCAGTCAAACTCGTGAGACGACGAGGGATCTCCGTGGATGGACAGTATGGAAGGTCCATCTTTGGATCACATGGTCATTCCATCGGGTATGGCAATCACGTGTAAGGATCATCCATATATGTACTGTACTGTACATAGGATGGGTCTCTCTTGATCATTCTCCATCATCGATCTTCCATAGTCAATGCATATGGCATTAAGTTGCTACATTGAGGAAGTTCCCAGAGCGCAACTATGGGCAGCATACTTCCAAATAGGACTAACTGTATATGATGGCGTACATGTACTGTAACCAGCATCATAGTCATTAGTCTTTAAGGGAATTACCTCTAAAAAGCTCCTGGATTGAAATCTTATGATATAAGTCTTTTATCTACTAATTGAAAATAAATAGTATTTAGGGTATCTTACTAATGTACTTTCTCTGGCCATCTTTTTAGCAGGAGCGACCAGGACAAGCAGTGGTATTTACCTTATCGAAGCTACCTCGAAATCCTCCAAGGCTGCTTCACTTTCATTCGTGCCATTGGCTGACCAGGGTGCGTTGAGCGCAAGGCTGTGATTCAGCCTCTTAACATCGATCGCATCTTGACTGACCCCGCATACAACCTTCCTCAATCACCTTGACCCTTATTAATTTCAAACTTGATCGCGAACCAGACGCCAAACTGCAAGAAAGTCGCTATGTCGCAGCAAGTGGGATTCAGATTCCAGGGCGATGTGTTTGCTGGCGGCAGCCTCGTGCTATCCACCACGGCCAGGCTCCTCAAGGCGCTGTCGGATGGCAATGTGGATGTCCTCGCAGTGACAGCGGCCTGCACCTAGGAAAGGATATTCCCATCACGCAGTTCCAGGAATCGATTGTTGCTCGCGCAATCCAAAAACGCAGTGTGAGCCGCTCTGGCATTCTGGCGAAAGCCTTGTCTGTGGGATGGGGTTACTCCGACATGGCATACGAATTCTCTCGGACCCGAGCTGGATGCGCAACGCTGCTACTCGTCGATGCCCTCGCCGCGGGCAGGTCGACCTTCTATGCCGCTCAGGCCCTACAGGAGCTTCTTTCCTTGAACAGATGTGCTCCAGAGGTGCTGCCCAGCGTGGACGCGCTCCACTCGACCGTCAAATACCTCGTGCCCATCATGGAAGACAGTGGCTTCCGCGCCATCCTGGAAAACACTCGCTTGTCCATTGAGGTGGAACTGCGAAAAAGCTTTCAGCGCGAGGAGGATGCCGATTCGCGATCAGCTGTCATGCGGGATGCCTCGCATGCATAGGAATGGGTCAACTCTATCCAGCAGTTGTGCCTGAGTTCGAGATTGCACGAGTCTCTCTACATCCGGACCAACGTGCGAGTGGCCTGGTTTGCGACGTTCGCTGTGCACATTCTAGACATGGCTTGCAAGGTCATGTACTCTTCTGCCACCCTGTGGGAGGCCCCAGGAACCCGGGGAGCGTTGACGATCCAATTTGGCCCTCCTTTATCATTAGGAGACATCAGTCCTTTCAGCAAACAGCTATCTCTCCAGGTGACTGCCGAAAATATGGGGCCGTCTCTAGTGACGACGTATTATTACCTTCATGAAGCTATCAAATCGGAATTGGCTGAGATACCCCATATACCAACGGCCTTTTATCCCTGTTTTTACCGCGTATTGATCCACTGGCTGGGACGTTCAGTTCTGGAAATCAATGTGACTAACTCTTTTAGGAGAAGGGAACTCTTCGTCCTGAGCGGTTTGGACAGGGAAGCCGCAAAGCTTCGAGTATGCCGATACCTGGGATTCCCGTCTGACGTGGACTTTCAGTCGGAAATCAGACGGAGCCTTGAAAAAAGAAGAAATAGTCGGGGACGTTACGGAATTCGACGGTTTTTTGAAAAAGAAATGGAGACTCCTCTAGGAAGACTTGTCCCAAATGGGGCAATTGATATCATAGAACGGTTGCTTTTCAATTCACAGTATTGGCATATGCGCTCCTTCATTGTCGGCTTGAGGAGAACGATTTAAGAGTTTCGAAGGTGGCAAACATACACATACCCAGGACTAATGGTGTTGCAGCAGCCCTTGAAGTATTATTAACCGAGTCTCGAATTATCAACCCATTAAGTCTCACCGATGTTTGGGACGTTTTAAAAGCTGTCCTGAACGACCATAATTCTGCTGGAGTGTTTCACAAGCCGGACTGGTGCAACGAGTTAGCCATTTCAATCGGAAGCAGGACGATAGCACTCAAATTACTGTTTGAAGAGGATACGTTGAGCACCCAAGGCGAATTCTTTGCAATTTACCCTGGTCGCCTATCACACGGGGCACTACTCCGAGATGCTGTCGTGTGCTCCGGTTCGAGCTCACCTGGACCTTGGAGCAAATCGCCAAACAACCTGGGACAGTTCTATGATCTGTTCCGTGATTATAACTGGACCTTGGCACAAGGCACAATTTTTCGTCCCCCAGATGCGCGCCGTGAGCGGAGTTTCG